GGATGCAGTAGCTCAAAAGAAAGAACAAGTTTTTACAGTGAGGATCAGTCCCATGCCCTTGATACACAGGGTAGACAGGGATGGGCAACATGGACATTGGCTACCCTAAATGGGGGGATTACAAAGGCAAGAAGTGACTGGCTTACAAACTTTCAAGAGGGAATCTAGATCCATAGGGCATGGAGGAAGGTAGAATCACCACTGAGCAGTATCCAATTTTTCTGGGCTGGGCTGATGAAAGGAAATGCAGATAAGGCTCTTGTGATACAATAGTGAATAATTGCTATCAGGACTGACTGTGAGGGTTGGAAAGGTTTCGTAGTGAAAGCAGGGGAGTGGTTGACTTTGAAGTCTAGGAGCGGAGGTCTCTGGGACCATCAAGGGAGAAGAGCTGAGTGCGGGACCCTACCCAGAGAAACAGTAACACCAGAGATGGAGCGGATGGAGACACTAGACCCAGAGAGGGAGAGGGGCTGTGTGCTGACGACTGAGGGGCAGGCTTGTGGGCTCTATCCTTTTGTTGGTTGATGATGCATGGAGGGGATTGTGACCATGTCAATGAAATGATATACGATAGGATGAATGTAAAGCTAATGTTCTCCCATATAAAATATCACATAATTCACAATAAAACATTAAAAAAAAAGAAGGAACCTGTGAAAAACAAATGAGTCAACAAAATCTTAGCACATAAAAATTGCTGCCACAAGTCTTTACTATTCTTCCTTCTTGCATTTTTCTGTGTTTTAAAAAACTCTTTCAAATTTAATCCTCTATTTTTTCTACCTTCCCTCTTCTGCAGAAGGCAAAACCTCCCTGCATGTTTCTCCCTGGGATACCTTGTTTGGGTCATAGCAAAAGTTTCAACAACTATACCCATTCTAGAATTCCTCTCATACAGAATAGCTTTCCATTCTTTCCTCAGCTATCACCAAGCTGATGGCATTGTGTGTTTGAACTCAACTGAAACATACTATGAACATAAACCCAATGACTTTATCCATAATGTCATGTGGGAATAAACTGCCCAGAACCATACTCACTTCATATATTTAATTGCTTTTGGGTAGACTGTAATTATAGGTTCTCTTAGTAATATCCTGCTTTTCTTTTATTAAACTTAGTGTATGTGTAAGATGACATAATAAAATAAAAAAGAAAATGTAACAGAACATATCTTTGGATTAAAATGACAACTTTCAAATTAAGAACTCATTTTCATCATTATAATTCTAGAAAAATACAATAAGGAAGGCTCTGAAATGACAGACAAATGTATTCAGAAACACAACTACTCTCTCAGATAGACATCAAGTATAACTAAACTTATGTATACATACAGGCAGCCAGTAGTTTATACTGAATTTTAATATTTTTAAAGAAAGGTCAAATAATCAATTCCTTCAAGATACAGCATTTTCCCTTTTATTTACCCAAGAATCCGTTTTGGAAGCCAATGCAGTGATCACTACTAGGGCATGGAATTTTGATACCCATTTGGTACTGATTTTACACCACTATTTTTAAGGCTGCCAACAAGCAAGTCCAGAATTTCAGGCATCTAAAATTCCACAAGAGACAACTGTCTTTTATTTTATAGCTTAAGAATTTTGGGCTTACTATGACTTTCCACTAGTAAGTCCTATTCCCCCACCAGAGTGCTAAGATGGTGTGCAGATCAGAAGAGTCATACAAAATAGATGAGGCAAGGTAGTACTAAACTTGAAGAAAACTGTACAAATTATATTGTTTACTTAGGAAAACAGTACTCTAGTTGAAAGGATTTATAGCAACACTAAACCAACATGTTCTTTTTTCTTTAACCCTCAACCCCATTTGTGGCAGTTGGTTGGTGGTGTACTGATGTTGAATACAATATTAATATAGACATCAAATGACACATCCACTCGACATTGGTCAAGAACAGTTTCTAAATGTGGCATGACTTCTTATGAAACATCTAGAAAAAATGCAGAATCATGTCCACAGTGATTAATAAATCACAGGCAAATAACTTAGGGAACTGAGTTACATGTTTTTAAGCATAAGTAAATACAGAATCTGTTTAACACAAAAGCAAGAAAATATTCTTAGTTCCTACAAATAATTATGTTGCAAAAAAAGCTTCCATATACAAGCAGAAAAAAAAAAAACTTTACCACAGCATTTCTTTGATATGCTCAAAGAATTCTTTAGATGGGTATCAAAGGGGTAATAAATATTGAAATGCTGAAATGATTTAAATGTGTTTGTTAAAAAGAAATGAATTCTTCTTTCCAGATGTCCTGGGAAAAAAAAGATTTCTTCTTTCCGGACTATGTCCATTTAAAACGCTTCCCATCTAACTGACTTTTCCTGGGATTTCAGGCTTGCCCAAAAGTCTGAATGTTTCATATTGTTGTTGTTGTTAGGTGCCATAGGATCCATTTTTGACTCACAGAGGTTTTATATACTTGTTCTTATTTCAGAGCCAGCATCAATATGGAATTGTTAATACTAGGATTGAAAATCTTAGACTATTTCATCTACAAAACTACATTTCAGAAAACAGAAATGCTCCATGTAATGTTTTCCAGTAAAAAGAAATTTGTTATTGAAGATAATTTCACAAATGAAACCTATGGACAAAGCATAAAGAAAAATGGTTCTATAGCCAAAGCCTATTAACTACTGAGGGAAGTGCACCCGATTTTGCATTACGCTTCCCAAACTGTGATTCCAAAATCTTACCATGATGCCTACCATGGGAGGATGACTTCTAGACTAACATCATTGGTATGCTTCTGCCTTCCTGAAAGGAATAAGAATCTTTGATGGTTTCTCAGGCTTACAGAGATTGTTATATTTGAGTACTATTATATCTCTAAAACAAAAGCTGTACAAGACAGAATTATTGGAACCATATTAACAAACGACTATATAATGGAAGTCAAAGCTAAACATGAATATAATCAAATGGAAGCATCTTCTGACCTCCATTATCTCGTAACTTTTAGAATAGCAAAATTTATATAAAAATTTCCTCTTGAAAATATATTGCTAAATTACTTTATGAAATTTATAATTAGTTAACAACATAATTTTATTTACACAAACCTTTTAACTGACACTGAGTACATAAATTTTTTTCTGAAAATAACTGTGTCCAGAACAAAGCAAAATGAAGACATTTCCATAAATGAATGTTTCAAGTTGAATGTGTAGGCACGTACTCTGTCACAGGGAGTACTGAAACTCTGTCATTCCATTTATGAAGAAGGCCAAGGAAATATATCAATCAAAGTCTTCTATCAAGAACATGCATTTCTGGTTCATTTGATCAGGAATGGTTTATTTTTTTCCCCTCCGTGTCGGCACAGAGTTATGAAATATCTCATTCTTAATTTCTCATCAGATTTTCTAGAGACACCACTTTGAAATTCAAATGATGATTGAACTCCACATGTGTGGCATATGGGAAAAGTGAAGAAATGTTGCTAAATATATCAGATCTACAGAAGTTAATGTTTCCCTTACAATATTACTTTGCTCCTCTAGATTCCCCATCACTCTCTGCCCTACATGTATTACTTATTCAATCTATACTAATTCATTTTAAATACAGAAATCTAGCCAGTAGTCATGTGACCATACTTTATAAATAAAGCACCACACTTTATTTCTCTTTATTTTCACATAAACAATCTGGCAGTCAGTAAAGTTCATTGTCTCTATTGCAAAGCTAATCATACAGAAAACCAAGTATAACAGACTACACACTACTTGCTATATGCAAATTTGGGTTCTGAGCCAAACATAAAGGTTTATAGAGGAAGGTAACTTCTTTTTAAGACTGGAAGATATTTGAGATACTTAAATGGGTAAGGCTGCGGAGGGCGGTTTCTAAAACCCAGCAATAAATCACTTGCTCTTAGATCAGAATCTCCCAATCTTGAGGTGCTTGCAGGAGGACACTTTGTTCAGTCATTGATGACTGAAGGTGTGCATTTGGGTTCTAAGTTGTTTTATATTTGAACTTCATCTTCTGCTTTCTGTTCATGGCATGTACCACTTGTATGTGTTCCTAATAATTCCATATTTGACAACAGTGGAGACACGGTAGGAGTCTGTATGGTCAATAGGGAAAGAGATGGAGAAAAACTAGGAGTCATAGCTTGTGGCAGAGAACTGAGATGGTAGAGAGCAGGCGATCCTGGGTCTTTCTGAAGTACCTGCCCTGAAGTTATGGCTGGCATTCTTGGTGGAACTGCTTTAATTCCAGGTTGGGCTATTGCTGTTATCAAAGGTGGTGGGAACACAAGTGGTTTCTTCTCTTTTGGAATACCAGGCATATGCAAATGTTCATCTTTCAGTTTGGCTATATCATTAAATACAGAGGCAAGAGTTTGAAACTTGGGTTCCCAAGTGAGGAGATGATCCCAAGTACTGCTGCCCCTTACTTCATGGGCAGATGTTATGAGAGTAGAAGGAACTGCACCTCTTGGCTCCTTATCACCTGGAATGAGGATGTAATCTTTTCTGACATCAGCTAGGATGTTCTCTTTTACTTCTGTCTTCTGAAGTGCATGGGGTACCAAATCATTTTGAACATAGGTTGTGTCACGGCCTCCTCCTCCATTTCTTGCCTCCAAGATATGACTGGTTTCTGCTGGTTCTGCGGTGACTGCCAAGTCAGTTTCTCCAGATAAGCAGGAGAGCTGGTCTGAGTCCCTTGGGATTCCAGAGTCTGGCACTCTGGAATCCCGATCACTCAGGGCTGAATCAGAGCCCTTCCTGTAAGGGTGTTCATTTATCCTCTGGATTTCCTTATCTTCTGCACTTTCTCCTTCCACAGAACAGTGGCCACTGGAATTTGAGTGCCTGTAAAGTTGGATTATGTCCTTCTCCATGATGCTTACTAAATTCAACCATTCAGGCGTGGAGTCCATGGACACCACATCCTTACTACAATCATTCATTTTCTGGAAGGCATTGAGCATGTTGGCATCCCCAGTCAATCTCAAATTGACATCTATGGAAGATGAGGTTTTCTTTTCCTCATAATTGCTTACTGAATCTTTTTGTTTATGTCTTAAAACTAGTATAATAAGAATGAATACCAGCAACAGAAATGCTAGGAAGGAGACCATAAGCATGATTGAAAAGCTGTTGGCTAATATTGCTGAGTGCTTTCCTTCAGGAGAAAAGGTCACATTTACAAAAACAGTGCAAGATGTAAACTTGGAATCCAGTTTTGGACTGTGAGCGATTATGTTCATTTCAATGGTGTCTTCTTTACTAACTTGACTTTTTACTGGAGGAAGGGCTCTAGTCAAATAGATATTTCCATTAGTTTTATTTACTGAAAAGAAAGGAGATGAGGATCCCAGGGAGTAAAGGATAACTCCATCAATACCAGCATCTACATCTGTTGCTTCCACTTTACCAATCAACTGTCTTACTTTACTGTTGTCTGGGAGGCTGAAAAAATATTGATCTTGGGTGAAAATAGGTTCAAATTCATCTATCCCTTCAACATCCACCCATACCATTAAGGAGGCTGTTGAATCACCTTTGTCTTTTGCTTGAACTGTGATGCAGTATTTATTTTGAAGTTCATAGTCAAGGATTTGCTTAGCATGAATATCTCCGGTAAAAGGATCAATGAGGAAGAGATCATGACCATAAGATTGTCCAACAGTACTAAAACAGGGTGACAAAATAGAATATGTCAATTCTCCATAAGGACCTGTGTCAAAATCCAAAGCATTTACAGAACATATTGTAGAAGACACAGGCAGATTTTCTGGAACAACACAGTTCACTTTTGGGAACATGAACTGAGGTGAGTGGTCATTATCATCCAGAACATTGATAAATACAACTGCAAAAGCAAAATGTTTCTTTTCTTTATCTGAAGCTTGGACCGTTAAAGTGAATTTTATTGTTTCCTCATAATCCAGAGGTTTGATCAAATACAGAATTCCAGTTTTTTCTTCTAACTGGAAATTGCCCCTTTCATTTCCAGAGATTAAGTGGTAGAAGATTTCAGCATTTGAACCTATGTCACAGTCATTTGCTGAGACCACAGAGATGTGACTCCCTACTGGGGTACTTTCCTTGATGTGGGCATGATATTCCAGATGAGTAAATTTAGGTGGATTATCATTGACATCAAGTACTTCTATGGATATGATGGCTGTAGAACTCAAGGGAGGGCAACCATGGTCAAATGCCAGAATGACAAGCTGATGTCTGGGAATTGCTTCGCTGTCCAAACTGTGAACCAGAACAACATGCCCAACTTGAGTGTAAGGATAATCTAGAGGAGTGAAACTAGTTTCCACGTGGAAAAAATTCTGTGAATTACCATTGATGATGGCATATTCAACATGTGTGTTTTCATGGATCCAGTCATGGTCAAAGGTTGAAAATGTGACAAGTGTGCCTCCAATTAGGGTATCTTCACTCAAACTAAGATTGTAGTGTTCTGTTGTAAACTCAGGACCATAGTTGTTCATGTCCTGTATTTCTATTAATACTAATGCAAGAGCACTCAGCTCAGGATTCCCACCATCGCTGGCTTCAACAAGTAATTGTATTGATGATATTTTATCCAGAAGTAATACAGGATGGATGGTAAATATTGTACCTGAAAAGCAAGACATACAGACCTGTGAAATTAATTTTTCATTGTCCGTTTATAGTTAATATTTATTAAAAATCTACTGTGTGTTTAGTTAGTTTTTAGGTTTGTTATCTAAATGAGAATCAATATTAACTTCAAGTAGAAATCTTAAATTATTATATTCATATTTTTATAACACTTAAGATACAGAATTAACAATTATGGTATTCTCTGCTTAAGGTTGCCTATGACACAAATTTCTCTTAAATTTTACTTTTGTATAGCAAGGTGTTTAATCACCATTTTTAAAGAAAATATATTCTTATTTGAAAATTGTGTATTCCATTCTATTTCCTATTAACACTTATATAGAGACATTCTAGCATAAAGTAATTAATTCTGGAAATACTAGTCGATACTCACTCTTGGCAAATAAAAGTAGAAGTATGATAATACAGAGTTACCGTTACAGCTTAATTATGAAGCTGTCTTCCCAAAAGCTCTTGGTTATTTCAGCAAATGAATTCTTCCCTTATTGGTGAAATCTATTTAATACATGCTATTGTTTCAAATATAACAGCATGTATTTTAAATATATATATATATATATATATATATATATATATATATATATATATGCGCAATAGTATTGTACTAAGAAAAATGTTTTAAGAATGCAAAATGCTGCCATTTCAATGCTTCATGTCAGTTAAAGTTTCACTGTGAGACTAAATTATCCTGACAATATTTAATGTTTTAGAAACATTCTAATTCATATCTAATTTGCAAAATTTATTGATAACATACAACAAGCAAAAATGTCTCTATGTTATAGTGTTCAAAGGGAACACCTCGTACGCTGCAATTTGCTGTTGTCAGGGCCAGCAGAGTATAGAGAACAGGTAAGGGGAAGCACGGAACTTCTGATTTGTTTGTATTCCTTCAGCAGTCAGCCATCCACAGGCTGTGGCAGCACTGTTACAATATCCACTGGCTCTCATATTAAAACCTGAGACTAAATTCTCCTTTCAGGTAATCGAGAGGCTAATTTTGAAATCAAATCTCACTGCTGAAATGATGCAATGAGGGGAGAGACAGGAACGCCTGGTGTGGTGTGTGCCTTTTCTAGACAGTGCTCTTCTGGAAACAGTGTTGTGCTAATTCTTCTTCCTTATCAAATTCAGTGTTAAATGTACACTCACTGCTACCATTTCTCTGTCCCCTGCTTATTGACTCTAACCTGGAGTCATTTGCCTGAAAGCATTTCATAGCCACAAATGTCTTGGTCTCTGATAAAATACAAAGAGTCTTTGTAAGACTCCACAATGACTTTTTCTTAGAAGAGATGCTTAAGTAATTTTCTTTTTTGATTTTTGTTGTCCTTATTGAACATATTTCTTGGCTCGGAAAAAAAGAAGAAAAAAAAAAGGCTTTCTAATTCTAATAAAAGTAAGCCCTAAGTACAAAATCTGTCCCCTAGACTTCATTTTGATTCTAGAGGAGACCTGAGATAGTCACTCAGACTCTGCTTGGTTGGACTGATGGACAGACTCTGTTGGGGTCTCTGAACTCCTGAGCATTTAATTGACTTCTTTTGCTTTCCAGATATGGTTGGAGAAGAGAAATAACACTGAGAACTGCTATTTCAACATTTGATGTAAAGAAAAAAATATGGGGGTGTGGCTGGGAGGCTATTTTAAGAGCATTTAGGAAGGGTGATTTCTAGTGTTCTCTCTTTAATGCAAACCATTGAAGATTAAAGCTATTGTGAAAAACGCACCATTCCTAGGGTCAATTGAGAATTCCTTAGAAGAAGAGAGGATTCTGTAGGAAACATTCTGGTTGCTGTCCAAGTCCTCGGCTGATACAGTCAGCACTGAGTACCCCACAGGGGCTGACTCTGGAACTGTCACCTGAGAGGGAAAAAGAAAAAAGAACATTTTACCTAAAGGGGAAATATATTTTCATAAACAGGGTCAGAATAAGAGATTTTAGTCATTTTGACTATGGAAATATACAAAGAACCTGTCTTTTTGAGTCATATTAATTTGCATAGTTGATAAGTTGAAAAAAGGTCCAAAGATTCAGAAAAACAAAACAAAAATTTAACTTCATTCCATTTAACTTTTATTACAAAAAATGTTCCTTCTTGAGTATTTCTATTAGAAAAGAGTTAGTATGTGCACTGCTATATAATGATTCAAACAAACATCGTGGCAGATCATTACTTGTTTGCACTTCAGTTTTGCATTTGTTACATTCAAGGGTCCTGGGACCGATTTTCAAGCATTTGTTGTTGTTAGTTGCCATCAAGTCATTTAGTAGAATGCTATCATTGTCTTCTAGAAACATACACTATGCTCTAACAACACAAAATAACCACTCTACAAATCTATTTATAATTTGTTTCTGTATGATGTTAATCAACGTATTCCAAAAATATACCAAGAAAGTATTTTCCTGAATTACTGATAAATAGTCCAAACTACCATTTATTGTCTTATCTGTGACTTTGCAATGTTAGGCAAGCTCCAGTTATTTAACAACTAGAATCTCGTATCTAATAGCTTAAAAAAAAAAAAAAAAATTTAACAATAACAATGACATACACACTTACTTAAAATTAATGTAATGAAATACAGGCATAGATCATTTTATTATGCTTCACTTCATTGCTCTTTGTAGATATTACATTTTTTACAAATTGTAAGTTTGTGGCAACTATGTGCCAAGCAATTCTACCACTGTCTTTTTTCAACAGCATGTGTTCATTGTGTGTCTCTGTGGCACATTTTAGCAATTCTCACAATATTTCAAAATCTTTCATAATGTTACTGCATACTTTATAGACTACAATATCATATAAACATTACTTTTATATGCATTGGAAAGCCAAACAAACAAACAAAAAAATCACGTGACTTACTTTATTACAATGTTCACTGTATTGCAGTGGTCAGGTACCAAACCTGCAATATTTCTGAGGCATGCCTACATTCAATTCCATATGTATTTAAATGATCTTATAGCATCCATGATATTAAACATAAAACCCACACCATTCATTTAGGCACTAAAAATAGTGACTACTGTTTACCTAAATTGTCCACCAACAGTGGAAAGTTTAGATTGTTCTTTCTAGTTTTGTCTTTGGTTCCATCAGCTGTCTAAGTTCTTTACCTGATAGAAATCTGGAGAAAACACTGGTGGGTTATCATTGACATCCAATACACGGATCAGTAGCATTCCCTCCACGTGGTGCACCAAATCAGAAACTTGGATGAACAGTTCATATTCAGTAGCTTCTTCAAAATCCAATGCTTTTACCAGAATCACGGCTCCAGTATTCGGATCAATAGCAAACTTAGTTCTAGGATTACATTCTTTGGTGAAACTAAAGATGAAAGCTGGATTCAAATCCACATCATGAACTGATACCCGAGTCACAACTACACCAGGCAAAGAATCTGAAATAATCATGGCCAATGTCAGTCTTCATTAAAGTACGTCCCTTGAAATACATTTCTTTAATAATTCAATCCAAGAATTTTTATTTAAGTCCAAAATGATTTGCTATTTCCAGGCATATTTTCATGCATAACTTGTTATGAACTGAACAAAAACTCTGAAGAATTTATGAGCTCAATAAAAGCAAAAATTTACCACTGAGAAGGGAATTGAGGAGGTATGGTTTACTCAATTTTTCTATTATACTTTTCATCAAATGCTTATGAAACAACTAATTTTAGAACCAAGAACAATTCTAAGCCACTTATTTGTAGTATATCATTTCTGTATCAAACTGATATATTTAAAGAGGAGGAAGGTGGGAAGAAGGCTATTATTTTAAACTTTAGTACAAACTAAACTTTTGAAGAGTGGTGGTGGTTATGTGCCGTTGAGTCAGTTCCGACTCACAGTGACCCTGTACAGGGTTTCCAAGGCTGTAAATCTTTACAGGAGCAGAAAGCCTCATCTTTCTCCCGCGGAACGCTGGTAGTTTCGAACTGCTGACCCTGAGGTTAGCAGCCTGATTCGTAATCACTATGCTACCAGAGTTGTTGTTGTTAAGTACCATCAAGTTGGTTCTGACCCATAGTGGCCCTGTATAGGGTTTCCAGAGTAGGCAGGTTTTAATGAAATTATTTGGATACTAAAGTTAAAAATAGATACTTATTTCCTTGTAATTATTTTAAAAAAAAACATATTTTATTAATTTGCTTTTGAAAATTTTAATTGTGAATTGAGTGAAGGTTTACAGAGCAGATCAAATTATTTTGCATTCAATATATCATATATATTTTTTCATCTTAATAACTGCAATCCCTTTTATGTGACAATAGTTATCCCACTATGTCACTCTGGTTCTTATTTCCATTCACCCTCCTTCTGAATCAGTCTGAACTTTGTCCCTATGTAAATGTTGCCCTTTTGATCTTGAATGGTTACCCAGTCTATGGTGAGCATACTTTACTAGTGTTGTTGTTTTATCGCTTGACAGAAAATTGGGCCATGAGGGTGTGTTCCATTCTAGACCTGAAAGGTGGCTGAGGGCCTTGAATTTATTTCATAATATAATTTATTTTGAAATAGCACACACATGTCTTCCTTCACTTAAAATCCAAATTAAAAAATTATCAAGCCTATCAAGACAAAGTATACATAGTACTCATGATGAAAACAAATCTCTAATATTGCTCACACACAACAAAAAAATCACAAACGGTCTCATGATAAGATGCCAGACTGCTAGCCACAAGGTGGGCAGTTCAAACCCACCAGCCACCTAATGGGAGAAAGATGAAGCTTTCTGTTCTCATAAAGAATTACAGCCTCAGAAACCCTAAACCTATAGTATGAGTTGGAATCAATTCAATGGTAGTGGGTTTGACTTTGGTTTATGTGTTATCCAGCCTAAACTGGCTCTGAAAGGTATTTTGTCTTTAAGCTTACAGATATAGTATAGGTGAAAGAACATTCCAAAATATTCAGAATAGTTCCACTGTATATGAGACCCATAAATTTCAGATTTCAAGCTTGAACATTCTTGATGTACACCAACCACATCTTACTCCATTCAGTATGTTATAATTTATATAGTTTGCCCTTGTGCTATATTGGGTATATTGTTGCACTTTAACAATAAAGCATGAGTTTCAAAATAGTATATAGGATGGTGCAGGACCAGACAGCGTTTTATTCATGCATAGTGTTGCTATGGATTGGAACTGACTAGACGGCACCTAACAACAACATTTATGATAAAGACAAATAGAAATATATACATATGAGAGAAAAAATGAAAGAGAGTTTGACTTCCCATGTATAGAGATATCTGAAGGCATCCCTCTATGAGTGCTGATGATTATAATTTGTTTGGAATATCAGGAACATATTTGTATTACATATGAAAGGGGAGAGAGAGATGTAAGAGAGGGACCACCATTATTATCAACTTCAGCTATAAAGAACTAGGCTGGGTTCTACTAGTACAGTCATTGGCCACTGATAACATTTAATATCACAGAGCATAGAGTCATTGTATAGGCCCAATCAGTTAAGATGAATCCATGTATCCCTTAAGCCCTGATGTGGTACTATATGGGATAAGCATTGGACTGCTACTGCAAAGTTGGCAGTTCAAACATACCAGCTGCTCTCGGAACCTCTATACCAGGCTTCTATGAAGTTGGAACTGACCCAGCAGCCACAATAATATATATCATTTAAAAATTATATTCTCAACCTTTACCACTCAAGTGGTAAAATAAAACAAAAACTCTTCAATTGTCTAAATCTAGGGGGAAATGATCACCTTATGCAACCAACTTTAAGTTTGCTTCATTTATTGTCATTAGTGTACAGCAAAGATTGACAAAGTTCTGAGTCAAAGAGCATTGCTATATTTCAGAGGAGCTTTAGAGCTCTTCAGAGTCAACCAAATATAATTCTTCAGAGAGTAGATCTAAAAGCTGTTTACAGGTAGTTCAATTATTAAGAAACATCTTTACATAAATGGCAGTTGTGGGGAACAGTGGCAGAACATGAGGAACAGACCTACTACTAATCTAAATGCAAATTCCAGCTTTAACCTTTAGTTACATTGACATGCAATGTTTAACTTCTGACCAATCCATTTCTTATTTAGTAAAATGAAGACCAGCTTATCTGTCTTGCATGGTTTTGAGGATTAATACTCATATATAATATAGTGTTTGACTGACAAAAAAGGGAGAGGATATCACAAAGGTAATCAAACCCGCTATACCTAATTGCCATACTTACTTTCTGCCACTTCTACTGCTTCAGAGGGAAGGAAAGTTGGGGCATTGTCATTTATATCAATCACCCTTATCCTGACCAAACTTGTAGCAGAAAGCTGGGGCATCCCTTTATCTGTGGCTTCCACAATCAAGCTAGTAAAAAACAAAAAACAAAGAACGTTATCCATCATTCATGAAAAAAAAATAAAATTATAAAAAGCACAAAACCACAAATATCATATTGCATCTCTCAAAATAAGCTGACTAGCTACTTTTATTTCTCCCCCTGGATTTTTCTAAATGGCATCACTTATAAATTGCTTCATAAGATAAATGAGAAGCTAAAGTTAATATATCCTTGCCAGATTGAGAGAACAAGCCCAACAAGCCTCTGGGGGTCATGATGTATTTATGTCAAAACAAACAGACCACTTCTAGGGGCTGGACTGTAAAATTCAAACCTCTACTAACAATTTAAAATACTTAAACACTTTGGGTATGCAGATTGCCTTCCTCCTTCCACATGTTGTATGCCATCTAGTTGGTCTTGACTCATAGAGACCCTGTATAGGGTTGCCAAGTAGTGACTGGTGTGTTTGAGCCACACTTTGTGGTTAGTAGTCCAGTACGTACCCTAGAGCTCCACACCAGGATTCCCCCCTACCACATGTTGTTTTGTTAGGTGCCATCGAGTCAATGCCAACTCATAGTGACCTTATGCACAGCAGAACAAAACACTGTCCGATCCTGGGCCAATCTCACTATCGTTGCCACACTTGAGCCCATTTTGCTGCCATTTTGCCAATCCATCTCATTGGGGGTCTTCCTCTTTTTCTCTGACCCTCCACTTTACCAAACATGACATCCTTCTCCAGTGACTGATCTCTCCTGACAATATGTCCGAAGTATGAGAGACGAAGTTTGGCCATCCTGGCCTCCAAGGAGCACTCTGGCTGCACCTCTTCCAACACATATCTGTTGGTTCTCTGGGCAGCCCATGGCACTTTCAATATTCTTCTCCAACACCATAACTCAAATGCATCAATTCTTCTATGGTCTTCCTTATTTACTGTCCAACTTTCACATGCATATGAAGTTATTGAAAATATCATGGCTTTAGTCCTCAAGCTGACAACTTTGCTTTTCAATACTTTAAAAAGGTCTTGTGCAGCAGATTTGCCTAATGCAATATGTCATTTGTTTGATTTCTTGACTGCTGTTTCCATGAGTATTGATAGTTGATCCAAGAAGAATGAAGTTACTGACAACTTCAGTCTTTTCTCTGTTGATAAGAATGTTGTTTATTGGTCCAATGGTGAGGATTTTTGTTTTCTTTACATTGAGATGCAATCCATAACAAAGGCTGTGGTCTTTGATCTTCATCAGTAAATATTTTAAGTCCTTAGTTATTTGCAAATAGTTCCATCTTATGCCAACAAAAGCTAGAGCTACTAAATCACTGCGTTTTACAGATTTATTCAGATCCTAATCTATCCAAATTATAGAATTAAGAAAGAACACCGTCATGATTAACATAGAAACAAAATATGTACATTTGATTCAGGTATAAATAGAGGTGAAAGTTCATGAACTGAAAGAATTTACCAGTAATAATTAAATAGATCTTAGACTTTGGAACAGCTAGCTCCTCCATCAGCCAAGCTAGAAACCTTATTACTGCCTTCGATTTCTCACTTCATCTCATTATCATTTCAGCAACCAATTAATTGTAAATGTTACTTCCTGAATGCCACTCAGTGTTTCTATCCATTTCACTCAGACTGTCAGTGCCTCAGAGAGAGTGATAAACCATCTGTGTTATATGGGACCGAGGGATTCCCAGGGACATGGGGCTCTCAGTTTTTAAAAGCCAGGACAATCTAAACAAAGATGTGGGACTTTCAGTGCTAAATGCAGGCAAGTCCTGCAGAAACCAGGACAAATAAGTAACCCTAGCCTCAGGCCTTCATCATTTTTACTGAAGTGCTGTACATTAACTATGTGTTCTCAAGCCTTGAGTACTTGTTTACTTATCAACTCCAAGTCTCACAGGCTCCACTCCAATTTCCACATTGCACCTGAAAAGCTTTCTCTAAAGTACTAATTTGAAAACCGGACTCCCCTATTTAGAACTTTTTGTTGGCTCTTTGAGTATTTAAGATACACCAAGTCCTAGGCAAGTACATGGGACCCTATAGAATTTGGGTTCTTCCTAGAATCTCTGCCCCTAGGCCATCTTGGTCTCTCAAAGGTCACCTGTCTGGTAGGTTTTCATTGACTTCTCATCTGATTTAAGTGTCCCTTTTTATATCTCAATGCCCAAAACTCACTACCATTGAGTCAACTCCAACTCATAGCAACCCTGTACAGGGTTCCCAAGGCTGTAGATCCTCACAGTAGCACAAAGCCTCATCTTCCTCCAAGGAATAGTTGGTGGGTTTGAACTGCTAGTACCACCAAAACTCCTAACCTAGGAATAATTCCATATAAAAAGAATGTTTTGCCATAGCAATCCTTATCGTGCATTCTTAATGATTTACTTGACTGCCTCTCCTATAATTTCCTTAAGGGCAATGGTGTTGAATAAACATTGAATACTTTCAAACACCATGAAGCCCAAAAGGCAAGTGAGAAGTAAAAAGGATTGTCAATCAGAAGATGACCCTTATTTCAGAGACGGTATTTGTTTTAGCCAATCGCTGAGACTATCTATTAGGAAATTCAGTCTTGGAAGTTGTTACACATCTAATTTTTTTTTTTCCCCCATAATTAGCTCATCTGCTAATTTTTTTTTTTTTCTTTCCAACACCAAATTTTTTAAATATGTAAATGAGCATCAACAATTTTGTGCTCTGAATAATAGTAATACCAAAGGATCACTGTTTATCATGATCATTTATGAAGCATACAGGCTACCTCCTACACTATGAAAGGTGAGATACCAGTAGAACAACCATATGAATGACACAGTTCTGAACCCTAAAAGGAATTCTTTGTGTAAAGTATGTTTTTTTTAACATGAACATCAGTCAATTATATATGAGGATATTTTACTAAAAATGATTAACTCATAATGTTCTCTCTCCCTGCTATTTGCACCTCCCCAATACCATACTAATATCCCAGCCAACACTTTAGAATTAAAGTATGGCAATTCTTCAACTATAGCCATCAACACCTTTATTCACAATGCTATAGCTTCAGGGTTTTATGTAATGCCTATGCTGGGGTTTTAAAAGTGGGATTCTTTAATGTGGAAGAGAATAATATTACTTGGTTTTGAAATAAAAGGACAAATAAAAGGTTTCTCAATGGCCTGAAGAACAAAGGAAGGATTATGAAAGCGGATCTGCAGAATTTCTTCACATAACTTCTGAGAGATACTCATCATCATCTTTGATGGCTCCTTGGCAGTCTTTGTGAAATGACTGGTTGTAGCCAATCCAGTTGGTTCCATGTTCCAGAACTGCTGCTCTGATTAATATTATCAGCAGAGACTATAAATGAAAACCACCAGATTTAGGGGAGTTTGATTGGGAACCACAAGATCAGCAGTTCAAGCTCACCAGCTGTTTTATGGAAGACAGATGAGGCTTTCTGCTTCTGAAAAGACTTATTAAAGCCCCAGAAGCCATACATAGGATAGCTAGGAGTAGGAACTGACTCTGTCTCAACAACAACGTTGAATGCTGATTTATCAGGATTTGACCAAGTTTACAGCTTTGACAATCCCATGGAGCAGTTCTATTCTCGACACATAGACTCATCATTCATTGGAATTGACTCAACAGCAACAAATAACAGCATGCATGTATTACATGACAGAGCAAGGAATTAAACACAGTTTTCATTTGGTTTTGTTTTTTTAAAAGGATGTATGCACTACTTAAATAATAGTAAAATAATTAAAATGCATTTCTCAGATCAAAGTCTTTAATCTTTGCCTATACACAGAGCACTTCCTTTCAGCCTCCAAACACTAAAATCCAACAAAACTCTACATTTAAAAAAAATTGTTTACCCTTTTTATATTGTGAATTGGATGAAGATTTACAGAACAGATCAGTTTTCCATTAAAAAACTCATAGTATTTTGTTTCAGTCATTGATTGAAATCAAATGCTACTCTTGAATCTGATTTGTGCTCACTTACCATTCAATTGCATTTCTTCCTTTTACAAATAAACTACCAAAAAGGGAAGTGGCTCATCATTTATTTCATCTGTTTCTTTTTCGTTCCAACTCAAACCTCTATAATATGCTATTAATCCATCACTTTAATGGATCTCCTGGTGGCGCTGTGGACTAAGCATTAGGCTGCTACCCTCACGTCAGCAGTTCACACCCATTGGTTGCTCCACAGGAGAAAGATGAGGCTGTCTAATCTTGTAATGTTTTTTTTTGTTGTTGTTGTTGTTGTTAGATGCTGTCAAGTGGGTATAGACTCATAGCAACGTTATGCACAACACAACAAAACTATAACCAACCTCACGCTCCTTGCTATGCTTGAGCCCATTGCTACTGCCACTATGACAAGCCATCTCATTGGGGGACATCCTTGTCTTCACCGACCCTCCACTTTACCAAGCATGATATCCTTCTCCAGGGACTGGTTCCTCCCTATAGTATGTCCAAAGTATAAAAGACGAAGTCTGGTCATCCTGATTTCCAAAGAGCATTCTGATTGTACTTCTTCCAACACAGATCTGTTTGTTCTTCTGGCAGTACATGGTACTTTTAATATTCTTCTCCAACAACTTACTCAAATGCATCAATTCTTCTAAGGTCTTCCCTATTAATTGTCCAACTTTCACATGCATACAAGGCTATTGAATATATTATGGCTTGGGCCAAGTACACCTTGATCTTCAAACTGACATCATTGCATTTGAACACTTTAAAGAGGTCTTGTGCAGCAGATTTGCCTAATGCAATATGTCATTTGATTTCCTGACTACTGCTTCCACGAGTGTTGATGGCTGATTCAAGCAAAATGAAGTCTTTGGCAACTTCAATCTTTCCTCAATGATCTTGGTATTATTTATTGGTCCAGTTGTGAGGATTTTTGTCTTCTTTACACTGAAGTGCAACCATACTGAAGGCTGTGGTCTTTGATATTCATCAGTATGTATTTTAAGTTGTCTTTACTTTCAA